AAAAGATGGAGTAAATTTTTGTTATAATTTGTTTAAAAAAAAAACCTAAGGGAAAATCGCCTTTGCCCATATGATTAGCATGTGCTACGAAATAGTTTTTCGCATTTTCTGACGACCGTATTATTTTGAGTTGTGACTCTTTTGAAGACGGTGTGCGATATATTGAATATTTGTATGGTGGACCTAAAACTCTTGAGTAAGGTCCCAAGAACAGCGTTTTTGGGCATCTCTGGTGCTTTGAGGACCACCCCAAAGAAAGCGCTAGAAGTGCCAGCCAATTTTGCTGTAGTAAATCTGGTAGGAAAACACGTGGCCGCCGACTCGGCACTTCGAGAAAATAGTATGCCGTAATAGATGGTTTGACCGCTCTTCCATACCTCACACGCTTAGTAGTTATACCCACGAAGTCGACTACTTCGCGTCTAAACCCACCTTCGACATACTCTATTAAATGAACATCTCGTTAAGAAGATAGTGGCAAGCGGCAAGAATATGGAGAAGGGGGGAATTATGTTTCTGCACCGATGGTTCCATGCTGAGAGTAGGGTTGGATACGGAGTTTTCTCTAAAGAATTAAGATCAGAATTCGTCCAAATTTCGCACCAGTGCAGCGTTTATCAGCCAGCTATAAAGGATGTGGCTGTGTGCCTTAATATATACGTCTAAGATAGCCAGGCGGCCATCAAATCAATGAATGCGGCAATGCTAAGATCAAAGGCAGCACCATCTTCAAGGTCAGGCATATATGGGTTCCGGGACATAGAAATATTGAAGGAAACTGCAGGAGCAATGAGCTATCTAAGAAAGATGCCAATCTAACAAAGATACCAATCTAGCAAAGAGATAAAATTGGGACAACCATGGCAATCTGCAAATTAAAAATTAAAACTAATATTATTCGAGGGGTCAATAGGCCATGGATAGATGAGGGGCACTTAGCTTTATTATCCCTATCAACTGTATATTTCGCAAATCTGCTATTCCATCGAAGTGCAGACAGATCCTTTGCGTTTTTCGTTCCCTGCGCATGGGTGACGGGTCGAGTGATTATTCACTGGTGCCTTCCCGGTTTGTTCGTAGTCGATTCATTTTTGTTCTTCGAGAACCCAATATGACACTTATTGGTAGACTTATTATAGGCTTGATTTGGTATTATTGGTGGTGTTTATGCTGACTCCTAGGTAGAAAATCTTTTACTACTTCAACGATATATTTGTCAACAGTGACAATAACCCCAAAACTCGCTGTGTTTGCAGGAGATACATTGTGTTTTCATTCACTGCTAGATATATTTACCTTTGTAGACTATTTCCCAAAGCCAGCAGCATCGTGCTTTTGCTGTATATAGTGCATATATTCAGATTGACGCTTTCAAACATTAATGGAAGAAGTCAGACAAAAGTTAATTGCGATTGCCAATATTTATAGCACTCAGGAAATTTTTTTTCAAAACTGCCTTAGTGCCAGAGATGGGGTCTCTCGGCCAAAGTAAGTCATTGTTTTTATGAAACCATAATTAAGCCTATATTGTTTTACCGAACCTGGTGGAACTCACCAGAGAAGGCAACACTGGCTAAGCAACTACAGCCCGTAAAGTGGATTACACTTCTCGGAATTAGTGGGGCAATAAGAACCACGCCTACACACGTCATGTTAAACGTTATGCCTGTAGATATTGCAAATTGCAATCACAGTTGTCCCAGCACGAACTCTCTGGACGCTGGAGTCTGATAGCCAGGCTCTGAAACATTGGTAGTACGCTCGAAATCGGTGAGGGAAGGTCTGACGCTCCGGAGTACCTCCTAATCAGGCTCATTTTGCCGGCACCAAGCCGCAGTGATATTGCGGAAAACTGCGTGGTGGATGACTTGGCTTGGAACGTCACCCTTAAAACCAACGGGTGTGGAGCAGCTGGGTATGCCTCTGTTCTCCTGCGGTTCACTCTTGGACGATTAGACCTCATGTAAGCTCAGCGAGCGCTGTACTTGAGCTAAGACATACGTGGTGGAGGATCCTTCTGACATGTGGTGGAACTGGGTGGTCACTGGAGCTCCTTATACTTGCAAAATAGTTGCAGGATCTTTCAGATTAGTAATTACTTTTTTTTTAAAAAAATGCATTACTGAAACCATTACTGATAAATACTATGTGGATTTCAATGGTTAGAAAGTGGTTTACTGAGTTTCCGAACGTTCAGGTCACCCAAAAGAGGTCATCACGCCCAAAATCATCGATAAAATTCGTGGAATTATATTGGACGATCGAAGAATGAAAGTGTGTGAGGTGGCTTATGCTGTAGGCATTTCAGCTGAAGCATAACATTTTATGTGGATGGCTATGAAAAAGCTATCCTCGCGATAGGTACAGCGCTTGCTCACACTCAGGGATGTTCCGTTACAAGTAAATATGAGTATGTATTCGATACTTTTGTTTCGATACCAACTACCTTTTTACTTGAATCATTGTTTCGATACTTACTTGGTATCGAAAGAAAAGTACTTGTATCGAATCGATTTGAGCAAGTGCCATATCTTGAAGGCCATATTTTTTCTATGGAAGAAACTTTGCACAGCGTCGTTTTTTATGAAAATTAATTGCTTTAAGCAATGGCACCGCCAAAATCGTAAGTGTGGATATTAGAGGGGTTTATAAAAACACTCTTTTTGGAAATCCATAAACGCTACATCAGAATATTGTTATTTGTGATAAAAAAAGAGACACGTATTTTTTTATTAAAAAAAAAAAGTCTTTTTAGAGGTCGCGCTGGTCCGTTTTTTATAAAAACGCTGATGTTCGCAATTTTTTTTATTTTGTGACATGTTAAAATGCAGCTAAAAATGTGGTTTTTACATATAATTACTCTGGTATTATTGGGGAACATTCCCTTAATTACACACCTATCTTGGACAGTTAGAATGGGCCTAGTTCCCGAAAATATTCTCTCGAAAAGACATTAGTAAAATTAAAACGTTGATACTGAACGATTTACGCGTTGTCATGGGTTGGAACTTGTTACCAGGGGATTTCTGAGGTTTCTAATTAAGAATCTGAAGTCAGTTTTTCAAAATTCAAAATGGCGGTTAAGACTTTAACAAATCCAATAATTTATTTAAAAGTTGGTCGACATTTGGGATCCGCCATTTTGAATTTAAAAAAATTGACTTCAGATTCGTAATCGGCGAACCCAAAAACCCTCGATTGCAGGTTTTCAAACAAATCCAATAACTTTTTAGAAAAATTAATCCCCATTTTGGATCCGCCATTTTGAATTTTGAAAAACTGACTTCAGATTCCTAATTAGCAACCCCAGAAACCCCCAGATAACAAGTTCCTACCCATGACAACGCGTAAATCGTTCAGTATCAACGTTTTAATTTTACTAGTCTCTTTTCGAGAGCATATTTTCGGGTATTAGGCCCATTCTAACTACCCAAGACAGGTATGTAATTAAAGAAATGTTCCCCAATAATACCAGAGTGATTATATGCAAAAACCACATTTTTACCTGAATTTTAACATGACAAGAAAATAAAAAAATTGAGAACATCAGCGTTTATATAAAAAAAAAAACCGACCAGCTGGAGGTCGCGCTTTTCAAAAAGAAAACCCCGTTTCTCTTTTTTTATCACAAACAACAATAATTTGAGGTGGCGTTTTTGAATTTCCAAAATAAAATTTTTTTAAACCACTCTAGTGGATATAGATTTGCAAAGTTAGTGATATTCCAGCAAAGTGCAAGCAATGCTTTGAAGCCGTAAAGTTTTGTGGGAACCTTTCAAAGGTTGAATTTTTTGTCTAAGTAATCGTTTAACCTCTAGCATTACTAATGAACAAATATACATATCGACATCTGAGTGGAAGATCGAGGAATCTCGGTAGCCAGTTGAAAAACGCCCTATCTCAGAAAACTTTTCAAGAACGCCCTATTACAGAATTTGGGTCACAAATGCCCTACTTCAACTGAAAATTTATTGAAAATATTTGAGATAGAGCGTTTGTGAACGGAATTCTGAAATAGGGTGTTCTTGAAAAGTTTTCTGAGGTATGGCTTTTTTCAACCATATTCTGAAGTAGGGCGCTATTGAAAATTTTTCTGTGATAGGGCGTTTTCGAATTGGCTGCCTAAATATTCCACTCAAGTGTCGCAAAATATATGTCACAGATAACGCCTGAAAATTACTTTCGCTTTGTTGCATATAAAAGGATGAACAATTATCGATATAAGTAGGTATCGATACATTCGGTTTACTCATTTAAGAAGTATCGAAATAGCGATTTGAGTAAACTCATTTAAGTATACATCGATACTTTGATGGTCTCGGAACGTCCCTACTCACACTCTGCCATAAACGCAACTGTGTGACACTTCAAATGAGTGTTTGGCGATGTTCAACCGCAATCTGAATGATTTTTGCACCGTTCCGTAACCTTTGGTCAAACATGGATCCATCATATAACACCAGAGACCAAGGAACAATCTTGAAGTGCAGCAAAGAAGGCCAAAGTGGGTCTGTCGGCCAATAAGGTCATGGCAGCAGTTCTTTGGAATGCAAACGATGAACTTGAAAAGGACAAAGCGATCACTGGCGAATATTATTTAGAGATTTTGGTGCTGTTTCATCAAGACAGTGCACGTGTGTAGGCACCATAGAAGAAACCATCAATTGGTCTACGAACTCCATCCCCAACCACCATATTCAGCTGATTTAGCCCCCACCGACTTTTTCCTGTTACCAAAACCAAAATAATAGCTGAGAGGTAAGAGATTTGAGTCGAAGGTCACCACTGAAACAAACACTAATTTTGAGGGCCTTGAAAGACCTATTATTTGGTAGGAATTAAAAAATTTTAAAATAGCTGGCCTGACTGTATCGAGCTGAAATGAGACTGTGTTGAGAAATAAAACGCTTTTTCGCCGAAAAGTATATATTTAATTCAAAAAGTCAGTGACTTCAAATTACCCTCGTATAATACGTAAATTATTTAAATTAATAATTTTTTCAATCCTTTCCGTAAAACTCGTCATAGGGCAATACTCGCAACACACCAGCCAACAGCCGTTTAACAATTTTCGCAACCGCATCATTTATTTGATCTTCCATATCAGAATACAGCACCTTCCAATTGTCATTGATGAGTTGATTTAGAGAATTGGCCAATTGTTCGTTACCATTAAATAGATTTTCGAATTTCACTTTCATTCTGTTTAAAAAGAAAAAAAGTAAATTTGAATTTTATAAATCATTAAAATTTAAGTGTCATGAAAATATTTGTATAATTTGTCTTACAATTCTGGTGTTAATTTGCATTTGAGGTCCTTAATTTTTATGAACTGCTTGCCATCTTTCCGCACTTCTTCGCTCTTAAATTTCAAACTGAGTTTGCTATTCTTCAGTTTTATTTTCGCATAACCAGTGGCGTCCATTGGTAGTATCAGCACCTTGCCGCTAGAAATGTATTCTCCATCGACTACCAAATTTGGTATGGTTATATATATTTCAAATTTTGAATTGAGTGGATCCTTTTCAAAGCCCACGATGCGTTGCACAGTTAAATTGCTGATGCCATGCAGGTACATTTTCTTGAATTCCAAATTAAGCGAAACTCCCGAATGCGGGTTCGCTTTTGTAAGAACAACATCGTCGAGTGAAAGTTTTTCTATATCGGTAAGACCGATTTCCGGAATTCCTTGAGCATAGTTTTGTAAAATGAACGGAAGTGTTTTAGCAATGCAATCAACATCGCCAGCGTGACATTTTTCTATTTCGGAAGCTGTGTATTTTTTGAGGGCAAAAAAAGAAAGTAGTAAGATATTAAGGTTATTGGCAATTTTTAACGGTTACAAAACTACTTAAATATATAATACAATTAAGAATACAAGTATGTGATTATTGTTTTTATTTTATTTTATTTGAGGCAGTCTTAAATACAGATTACGTTGGGCTTCCTGAAGAAGCAGTCCGCGATATTTACAAACAAAGTAGGTTTCAGTGTGAATGCAGACAAAACAGACCTAGTGCCTCCACCAGAAAGTTATAAATTCAGTAGCTCGTTTCTGTAACACTTCTCTACCGATTATCTCTCTACTGGTAGAGAATATACGTCATTCTCTACCAGGGGAAGCCGACTCGTGAGGAGTTCCCCGATTTGTGGGGAATTTCAGTTTGCGTGGGGAATCGGGGAATGGACCGTTTTTTGTGGGGAATTTCAGCTCGTTCAATTCTAGTATGGCAAAAAAATTATCGTTGATTTTTAGAATTTTCTTTGCATTTGCTTTCATATAGCGAATGAACATAATTTATTTTTATATGGAAGAAAAAAACGCAACAGCTTAGGAAAAAATCCTAAAACGGAAATTTTTAGCCATTTGAAACTTGCACTTTATTATTCTAGAATTGAGTAGGCTACGTAAATGCATATACAAAATATTTATAGAAACTCCATTTAAAAGCTCGAAATTTTTACGAAAGTTTGCTGAATTTTGTTCAAATATTGCACAAAGTCTGAAACTTGGATCTATACGGTTTTATGTTAAAGAAGAAACTATATTTTTATAAAAAAAAATAACTCAAATTAAATAACAAAAAATAATAATAATTGATGCGAGTAATTTTTTCAACCACTGTATGTAAAATTCAAAATGACCATAAAAAGTAAACTTTTTGATTTTTTGTCTTCCTTTTGACCTAAAAACAGCATGCAATGAACTTAAAAAATATATATAAAATGCCTTTTTCGGTTCCTGCTACCATTGAAAAGGATTCCTTGATGCAAGAACACCAAAAATATCTATTTAAAACTTTTTAAAAAGTTCACCTCATAGGGTTTTCAGGTAAAAAACACAGCTTCATCTAATTGGAAAAATAATCATATAATTAGAAATAATCAAATAACTGAAGATAATCTAATAACTAGAAACAATCAAATGATTAAATGCAATCAAATAATTAAAATAATCAAACAATTAAAAATAATCAAATAATTAAAAAAACAATTTGATTAATTTTGATTATTTGATTATTTCTAATTATTTGATTATTTTTGATTATTCTTTAATGGCAATTAATATGATTATTTTTGATAATTATAATTAATTATTAATGGCTGGGTTATGTAAGAAAATTAAAATAATCATTAAAATTTAAAATTGCAAAAAAATTAATGATTACTGGAAAATCAACAATAAGTTTTTCATTATAAACGGCCTCAAGCTCAATAAAAATTGTTGAATATAATTGTTATAAGGCCATAAAATAACAAAAATAAATAACTTAAGGACGAGCACCCCTAAAAGTTAAACATTCTAATAATAGAAATATTAACAAAAACCAACAAAACCAACAACCACATGATCAAGTGTGAATTGCAGCGGAATAGCTGCGCTTGATTGTAGTTGGCTTAACAAATGAAATAGTGGAAAAAGCAACAAGAATTCACAAGGCGAACTTAGCACAGTGCGTAGGCAACTGGCTGAGTCAGTGGGATCGTCGGTTCGAATCCTACTGAAAGAAGTCGGATGAGGAAATGTAGTGATTTCCGAAATAGCTATCACTTCTACCATTTTTTCAGAATTATTGTTGCTTTTCCACAATAAGTTTTTCATTAAAAGGCCAAGAAATAACAAAAACAAATTTATAACTATGTAAATTATTTTAAATAAAATGTAATGCTCACAGGGAAAAAAAATGTTTTGTCGACAAACATATATATGTAGCTGTGAAATACGGTGTTACGTTGTTCTTTCAAATGACCATAGATAACAGGGATGTTGCGAATATTTGCATTTCTGGAGGGTATTCATGTATTTTAGATATGTATTTGTATTCCGCTGCTTTAAGCATGTCATACCATCAGAACACAAACAAGTATGTTTCTTTACAATGAAATCGATCAAATAATTAGATATAATTAAAAAATCAAAAATAATCAAAAGTAATCACCAAATTTAATCAACTACTATTTATATGTTCAATGGCAGCTTAAGAGCTGACTTAGCAATGTTTCCCCATGGTAGCAATTCCAGGCGAAGCGATAGCTAAAGTTATGTAATTCTTTGAACCAACCGTTGCCAGAATCCTTCTGATAAGGAATGTTTTGCTAGTTCTTCCTGGCGTATCAAGAAGAAGGTCCCCGAACTCCGTCAATTAATATTTGCATATTTTTCCTCTAATTTGGTGCTGTAACCGCCTAAGCCATTTTGGCCGAGATCGACAAAGAACGCCAGTCGTTTCAATCTGTGCCAACTGACGACAGTTGGAAATGCCACGTGAAGCCAAGTCCTTCTCCACTTGGTCTCTCCCTCTTCCTCTGCTACCACCAGCGGATTGCGAGTTGAATACTTTCAGAACTGGAACGTCGCTTCCCATTCAAACGACGTGGCCAAACCAGCGGAGCTGCTGTATTTTCATTCGCCACACCATGTCCATTTCGTTGTAAAGCTCATACAACTCATCGTTCCATCGTCTGCGGTTTTTCCGTCGCCAACGCGCAGAGGCCTGTAAATCTTCCATAAGATCTTTCTCTCCAATACTCCAAGAGCCATCTCATCGAATGTGGTCATTGTCTAACCTTCTGCGCCATATACCAGCTCGGACATGATGAGTGACTTATAGAGTGTGGTTTTTGTACGTCGAGAGAGGACTTTACTCCCGAATGGCAATTCAGTACAAAGTTGCACTTGTTGGCTAGAGTGATTCTGCATTGGATTTCCATGCTGACGTTAACCAAACCCAATCGCCTTGCTTCGTTATCTAACTTGGAAAAGGCAGGACAGACTTCGTGGTTTTTGTTACCGATGATATCGATGTCATTGGCATACGCCAGAAATTACGTAAACAATTTTTCCTGAGTGGTTCTGTTCTGCAGCTCTTATTATCTTAACACTTGCATAATGCGATCGTAAATGCCCTTCTGAATTCGTCTTAATTTTGGAATGTTGGTTTGGGCATATAACAGGGGTTCACAATAGTAATAGTAATCATAATCATAATAATATTATCTGAAGTTATTCAAAATTTCTTTACTCGCAATATACGTAGTAGGCTATGGCGACCCCAAACGAAATAAATTGTTTACGATTAAAAGTTAACTGATTTATAATGCTAGGGAATGGTGTCAACAATTTTAAGTGTTCATTAAGTATTTGTTAAACCTCTTTGTTGCGATAGTTTTTTGTTTTCGTTACTCTTTTATCATTTTGTTATTTGTTTCAGTAGTTTTTAGCCGACTTCACAAAAAGGAGAAGGTTATCAATTCATCGGATTACTTTTTTTTATGTATGTTACCGCATAACTTTGGACCACGTCAACTGATTTCCAGGTGATCCCATACTAATTTGGTTTAGATCCGATCATTGGATCATGGAAAAATTAACGGTGCTATTAAATTTGTATATGGGAATTGAAGCCGGTTGTGTTTTTTGCTTAAAAATTACTTGTTTATTAACTTTTTACATTAAGTAATTTGTGTACCAACTCTTCGTTGATAATATGATCACTTCGTTTGATAAGATGTTGCAAATTCTATATTTATTTAAACTGTTCCTATTTTGGATAAGTTTAAAGATTTAAAAAATTCCCTAGTAAAGCTTTCCCAAACACTTTTCGTTTAGAACCAGTTATGTTATATTTCATTTAACTTTAATATTTTCAGTCTTTACTTTTAGATAGGTGATAATCCTATTAAAAATATTTCCAAATCAATATTTTTCAAATACCTTTCGTTTGGCACCCATATTGTACCTCAAACATATTTTCTGCTGTAAGCCTTTTCAAAACTTTTTAGTTTCGACACACACGTGGCAATACTTCATTTATTTTATCAATTTAATTGAGTTAAAATTTTCAAATAGAAGGCAACCCTCCTCAAAATTATCTCCAACAGTTAGCTTTCTGAAACCTATTTAATTTGATACCCACATTGTAATATTTCATTTATTTTATCAATTTAGCCGAGTTAAAATCTTTAAATAGGTGGCAACTCTCCTCAAAAATATTTCCTAGAGTAATATTTCTGAAACCTATTTTATTTGATACCCTCATGGCAATATTTCATTTATTTTATCTTTTTAACCGAGTTAAAATTTTAAAATAGGTGGCAGCCCTCCTCAAAAATATTTCCAACAGTTATCTTTCTGAAACCTATTTAATTTTATAAATACCCATATTGCAATATTGCATTTATTTATCAATTTAACTGAGTTTAAAATTTTTAAATAGGTGGAAACCCTCTTCAAAAATATCTCCAACAGTCATATTTCTTAAACCTCTTTAATTTTATACCTATGTATATAATAAGTTATTTATTTTATCAATTAAATTGAGTTAAATTGTCGAGCAGATAACAACCCTCCTCAAACATATTTTCGGCTGTAAGCCTTCTTAAAAATCTTAAGTTTGATACCCATATTGAAATGCTTCATTTATTTTATCAATTTAACTGAACTAAAATTTTCAAATAGGTGGCAACCCTCCTCAAATATATTTACAACAGTCATATTTCCTAGACCTCTTTAATTCGATACCTGTATTGTAATACTTAGGTCATTCATTTTACCTTTAAATTGAGTTGAATTTTCAAACAGGTGACAACCCTCCTCAAACATATTTTCGGCTGTAAGCCTTCTTAAAAATCTTAAGTTTGATACCCATATTGAAATGCTTCATTTATTTTATCAATTTAACTGAACTAAAATTTTCAAATAGGTGGCAACCCTCCTCAAACATATTTCCAACAGTCATATTTCCTAGACCTCTTTAATTCGATACCTGTAT